GCCCCCCGCCCCCCACAGCGCTGACCTGCGCGGTCAGCATGGGCCGTCACGGCCTCACACTGGCCCTTGCGCGTACACAGCACCCCGCGGCGAGCCCTGGGGTCTGCCTGGCCTCGTCCACTCTGCCGCGGTCCCCCCTGCCCACGGAGCATCGCCCGCAGGGCCTCCGCCGCGGCAGGAGCTGGGGAGGCCGGGGTGTGCGCCCCCAGGGCCTGGGAACCCCGCGTGCCCCTCGGGCCCCCCCACCTCCCCCTGGGGGACAAGGGGATTCGGCAGCCTCGGGCCTGCCCGCCTCTCGCCCCTGCGGGCGCGTGCCAGGGAGCCCGCGTGGGCTCCCCGACTCCCGCGTGGGCTCCCCGACTCCCGCCTGCCGCTGCCTGGGGGTGCGGCCCCGCCTGCCGCGGGGGGTCACCGCCGCGGCTGCTCCAGAGCGCACACCCGGGAGCTGTCCAGGAGCCGTGGTGCTGGACCGGGGTGGCCGCGCGGGGTGACCTGGCGTCTGTGCTGGCCTTGAGCCGCCTGGAGACAGCGAGCCGGGTCTGCGCGGCTTCCGGGCCAGGCTGGGCGGGGAGAGTGGACGCTGCCCCATGCTGGGCGCGCAGGCGGGAGGCCCCAGCCGGGGGCCCGCTGGTCAGGCCCCAGGCCGGGGCGGGGTCCTCAGGCTCCAGGGCCGGCCTCGGGGGCACGGTCATCAGATCGGGGCCGCTCTGGGCACTTCCTGGGAGCTGCCCCTGCGCCGAGAAGCCCTCGGAGGGGCACCTGGCGCGTCCAGGCCCCGCTGGCCCTTGGCTTTGCACGTCATGTGACCTGCTTTGCGTGTTTAGCCGTGTGGGTGTTTGTCTGCCGTGTGCAGGCCGCTTCTGGAAGAAACCGAGGGTGGACAGCGGTTGACGCCACCACACTTCAGGACCCCGGGGGCCTCTGGGGTGCACGTGTCCCTGCGGGCCGGGGCAGGACACCGGTGTCCAGCCTGGAGCCCAGGGCAGCGTCTCCGGCCCGCGGCGGTGGCCGGTTGCCATGGCTGCGGCTCGGGGCCCCGGGGACCGCGGCTCTCGGTGGCGCCGCTTCCAAGCAAACAGGCGGGTCCCCGGGGCCCGGGAGCGCCGGGGTGACCCGCCCGCCCCCCTCCACCCCGTCACCGTGGGCGCTGGAGGCCAAGGGGGTGGGGGTGCCCCCAGACGCAGGCCTCAGGGTCGGGGTGCAGGGCGGGGGCGCCCCGAGCAGCAGCCTCGGGGCGTCTAACCTTTGGGCACTGGTGGTGCCCAGGCGACGGCTCTGGGGGGCGGCTGTGACCCCGGCGGCTCCTCACCTGCCCCCGCAGCCCGGTCCCCGCTGGGCACAGGGGTCCGCCCACCCCCGCGCGGCGCCCAGTGAACCGCTGCTGGGGAGGCCAGAGTGGGGGCGCGCGGGGGCGCGGAGGGGGTGCAGGAGGAGCCAGCGCTTGGGGTCCCTGGAGGCGCGAGGGTCGTCAGAGAACACGGGGTGGGGGCCCCCGGGGGGCGCCGGCCGCCCTGTCTCTGCAGGCAGCAGCGAGGCCGCAGCCGCCCCCGCACCAGCCCTCAGCGGGGACCCTGAGCCGCTCCCCGAGCCCCGCCCCGAGGGCGGAGAGACGCCCGGGGCACAGGCCGGAGGCAGCCCCCAGAGCCCCTCCCCGGCGGGGGCTACTCGGGGTCACGGGGGCTGGGGGGGCTTGCGGGGAGCGCCCCGAGGGAGCGGGCGCCATCTGGACAGCTCAGCGCAGCTGAAAGAGGCTTAGGGTGTCTCGGAGCAACTGGAGCCGGCTCCGCCCGCCGGGTGGGGGGTGGGGAGTGGGGCCCCGCCCCGGGTGCTGGGGGGGAGCCCCGCCTGGCCGCGGAGCTGTTTGCGGGCACACTTCCCAGAGCCGGCAGACGGCGCCGGCGGCCGCGCAGGGACGGGTGGACCGTGCGTCCCGCTGCCCACCCTTCACGCGAAGCCGCCTGCAGCCTGGGGGCACACCGCACCCCAGGCACACCCCTCACTCCGAGAGCCAGGTAGGGGTCATCTTCGCAGGAGACGGGGCTGCCCACCGGCACCCCGAGCGCAGGGCGCCGGCAGGGACAGTGGGCAGCGGGGAGCGACGGCTGCGAGGCCTGGCCAGCACCGGCCGGCTCTGGGGACGCCGTGTGCGGACCCCAGGCCGGAGGTGGCCCCAGGGGCCGGCCCTCCTGGGCACCCCCCGCCCGGGAGGGAAGCGCACGCCTCGCCTCGGCTGGGCCACTCAACTCCCCGGTGCCCCGAGCGCCCAGCCAGGTGGGGGGACGGGGAGCAGCCGCCTGCCTCGTGGCTGGGACGAGCCGCCAGGGGCCAGGTGTGGCCGGGCAGGCCGGCGGCCAGTGCCGTCCGCGGGGCGCAGGCCGCAGGGGGTTCTTGGGGGCCCCCAGAGGCGGCAGGCGTTGGTCAGGGGGGCGGGGGCCCCGGTGAGGCCGAGCAGACTGGGCTGCAGGGAGCAGGGGTCCCTCTCTGTGCCCACAGGGGCCCCGGCTGCCCCCGCCCCGCTCCTGGAAGCCGCGGGTGTCCTGGGACAGGGACTCGTGCATCGGGGAGCACCGGCTCTCCCGGCCACCACCCCGGTCTGCTGCTAGGCCCTGACAGGGGGGCTGGAGGGCTCCCTCGGCGCCCAGAACACAGCTCCTGGCTGGGGCCGAGCTGCCCCCTTCCCCGGAGGGGCCGGACCCCCCCTGCCTGCCAGCCAGTCCCCTCCCCACACCCGGGGGTGCTCCCGGCTGCAGCCTGACTCCTCCCACCTTGTGGTTCTTCTAGCTTCTCTAACGAGCCACCATGGGGGTGCCCCTCGGGAGCCCCGACTTGGCTGTCCCTGGGGATGCCCACAAATAGGCGCAGGGAGGCCGGGGGCGGGGGGGAGGGCGGAGGGAGGCGGGGATGAGCGAGGACAGGCCAGCGGGTGACGGGCGGGCGCGGGCCAGCCGGACGCTCCCCTGAGACCGCAGCCGGGACACTGCCCGGCCCCATCACCCCACCCTGGCCAAGCTGTGCCCCGCAGCGTTCTGCTGTCCCCGAAGCCAGGAGCCACCTTGGGGGCCAGCTGGCATCCGACGGGGGGCCGGGACCCCTCGGGGCCTCTCCGGGCACCCAAACCCTCACGCCAGTGTGGCCCTCCGGCACCTGACTGCCGCGGGACCGGCGTCCAGCGAAGATTCTGGAGCAGCCGCAAGGCTGGCAACTGCCCGCAAGGCTGGCAACCAGGCACACGGCCGGGTTTGGGGGTGGGGTGGGGTCCCGCTGCCTGGGCAGCTAACGGGGTGCGGACCTCCAGGCCAGGGTCCTGGAAATAGGCTCAGCTCTGGTCCCCCGGCCCGAGGGGCACGGCAGGCCCAGACCCACCCCCGAGGAGGCTACTTTCTGCTGAGCGTGCCGGGTGTCCATGCTCCCCGCCCTCCTCACAGGCGGGGAGACGGAGGCCTGGAGAAGACCCCGGCGCAGGCAGGGCGGGAGGGGCGCGAGGGCCCGGAGCTGAACTGGGAGCTCTCGCCCACGCCAGCTGCGTGCCCGGGCCCCGCGATGGAGGGCCTGGGGAGCCCGCCAGGCCCAGGGCACCCAGGCCCAGGGGTGCCCGAGAGCCCCCCTCTCCTGCCTGGGGGCAGGGAGCAGGGGCAGGCAGTTCTGGGGGGCCCAGGCGGCGGGCCCGGGAGCCCCACCCTCCACACGCTGCTCCCCAACCCTGGGAACCATAGAAACGGGGCGGGGAGGCTCCGAGTCTCTGGGGAGCGACCGGGAGCGAGCTCTGACTGTGGCCTCTGTGCACCCCCACACCCCCTTCCTGTAAGAACTTAATCAGACCCACTCGGCCGACGAAGGGCGGGTCAGAGCCTGAAATAGCTTCTGCAGAAGCCAGAGCCTGCTGGGGAGGGCGGGGGAGGCGGAGAGGGGTGAGAAAACGCGGGGTCCCCCTCCCTCAGTCACTGCCACCGGGCCGCAGACCTCAGACGTCCCCACCCCTGCGGGCCCTGCCCTCTGCCTTGGGGTGAGCGCCTGTCTCTGACCGCGGCTCCGGCCAGGACCACACATCCGGCCGAACCTGCCTGCCCGCGTAGCAGGGGGCTGCAGCTAAGCTCATGCACGCATCCGCCCGTCGTCCATGCAGCCATCCACCCATCTGTCTGTCCATCCACCGATCGCCGATCTACCCACCCACCCGCCCATCCACCCATCCGTCCGCCCACCCATCCGTCCATTCGTCCATCTGTCCATCCATCCACCCATCTGTCTGTCCGTCCACCCATCCACCCACCCATCCATCCATCTGTCCGTCCACCGATCTGGCCATCCGTCCACCCATCTGTCTGCCTGTCCACCCACCCATCCACCCATCCATCCATCCGTCTG